CTTGAAAAACTCTACATCAGTTTAAAGCTACATCCCCTAAGCACCCATTGCAGCTAGTTGTTTTTCAGTGGAAAGCTTATAAAGAATGTATTTGCTAAATTTGTGTAAGTTTAGCAGAAAACGCTTATTAGATATGGCGTACATATCATGTAATACCAACACACACACGCATTCATTGCTGTACATCACGGTTTATTTTGAAAGGTAAGAGTCCACAGAAAAACATCCCATCGAACACATTTAGTCCACCGACACAATAGTGTTGAATTATGGATGGTTATTCATTTGTTTATGTCACCATTTCTGCCGGAGACCTATTATTTACACTGTTTTATGGTACTCACACGTAAAAACGCAGTTTTTGCAGTAAAAGGCAAGTTTATGTCATAGCTTACAGTGTTACAGATAAAACGAGACCACAAACTGAATAAAAAGCCAAAGTTATAGTTACTAAAATCAAAACAAAGCCGAGTGTTTTGGCCTTCAGCATTTCTCAGTCACTGCTCATTCAGAAGCTACTTCCTTCTTCCCAGAAGGTTGACTGACAGAGAAACGAGCCAATTGCTGCATGAATTTTGATCTTATTGGTCGACTGCAATATTATTCCCGTTTTAGTGGCTCAGAGAGCTGTCAATCATCACTCGATTGCACCTGCCCTCTGCAGCACAGCTGCTACAGTTTAGGCCGAGCACGCGGCTCGTTTGCAAAAAGAAAACTGAAAGTGCATCGTCAAAAGTTGTAATCTGCTGAAGAGAGTTTTAAAAGATTGTTTGAAACGAAGAGGAGACTATTTCTGAGGAGAGCTGATAGTTTTCCCAGACAGCACACAACGTTGACCTTCGGCCGACGTCGGCCTCTTTAATTCTAACATCTATATATGATCGGCCAAACATACGCATGATCATTCGGTCGTGTGTTCTATCGTTCCAGCTCAACAAACGTCGGCTCTGCATCGGTTAACGACCAGAGGCCGACGAAGCACTTCATAAGCATGCCCATGAAAGAATCCGGCAACATATTTGGTTTAAAAGTAAGTTTTTGCGTGCATAATAAATTAGACAAACGCACCATGCATCATGTCTACTGCGTCGGTTGGTCCAGCTTTAAATAGCCCACATTAATGCAGTAAAACTGACCAAAATGCCTACAACACATGATTTCAATTCATTAAAATATAAAAAGTTTTATTGTTATACTTTAATAATGAAAACGTGTTTTTTTCTGGTGTTAACTGCTGTTTGCTTTTTTTATTGTGGCTTTTTCTAATACATTTTTCCCTGTGTAAAAATCAACTATGTTCTGCATTTCGGCTGTTTAATTAAAATAAACACCTTTTTACAGAGTGACATCTTTGTTTTATATATACTTGCATTTATATTTATTGGTTATTTATTTCTGACAGTGAATCTAATGCACAAATAAAGTGTTTGTTTTGTAACAGTTTAGTAGGCTATAAAGCTCGTCTTAAAGATAATAGCGTATATAAAACAGCTAAATACATTTTAAATTCAAGATATAAAATACAAGGTTATTATTTAAATAGTCTATGGAGTGATCATGTTTATAAATGTAATACTGCATGACTTTGATGTGCGCGCGCGCGTCTCATTCCAACACTGGAGCGCAGAGGATGTTGCTATGGGAAACGAAGCTACAACACGACACAACACCACCTGGGGCCTGTTTCAGAAAGGAGGTTAACTGAAAACTCAGAGTATTTTAACCCTGAAATGAGAGAAACTCTGGGTTTTCCGTTTCAAAATGGCAGGTTTGTTAAACTCGAGAAAGCAGGGTAAGTCAAGCCTGTTTCTGAAAGAGAGGTAATTTTAACTCAGAGTCAGTTACTGTGGTAACTTACTCTGTGAATCTAACCTGGTCAAAAGCAGGTTTTATTCTCTAAACTCAGAGTTTCTGTCTGTCTCCTCCCCTTTTTTAAAGATGAAGCGGCATTTCTCGCCTTAGCCTTACGTCTCCGCACACCTATTTTAATGCTCATTTTGGATACGTGCATAAAAACGATTGATAGAAACGTCATGATGCACATAACTTTTTAAAATATGTATAAAAAATGCGCATAACTGAGTAGGATAAACTTTTATTCGATAGAAAATGTGCGCATAAACTACGATGGAAACACTTTTACTGAACAAATTACAGTATGTACATTAAAAAAAAGATCATGATCATATGATAATGAAAATGTGTGTGAATGGACAAACAGCAGGCTGAGCACACTGCAACATGTCTTAAATATTGTGTTAGTCATTTTAAAATGCCTTCACTGTTTCAGTATTAGTGTATATTATTAATTACCTCCGAACGTCTGGTGCGTGTCAAGAGTCTCCGCGTCTCATGGCTTCAGACGCCCCCACGTGTTCATTGTGTTTCAGCATTGTCTTCTGACATCGAGGCGCAAGTACATTAATTAGGCTAAATAAAGAATTAATTGACGAAGCTTCTTCTACCACAGTAAATTCTGTTTTTACTGTTGATATTTGGTGCCAGTTTAATCAGGAAGTGACCATTTTTTTCTCTTTGACTCGTTGGATGGAATTTTATTCGCATCTTCTATGCAATATTCCAGTTTTGCACATAAATTTATGTAATATATTTGGATGGAAAATAGCTATTGCCTGCATTTTTGTCACAGACAGAAGAACTGTACTAGAATGGCTTATCCTTTTTTAATAAATAATTAAATTAAATTCATCTTCGACATGCACTGTAACTAGATTAATGGGATTATTATTCTTTCTAAAAATTATTTTTAGTACTGCTTACCTTCTAAATGTTATATTAACCTCTATCACTTGATCAATAAAAAAGGCAGACACAAGTGCACTGTTAAATCATTTAAAACTAATAAATGTATAAAAAAAAGTTTAGAAAAAAATATAAACGTCACAAATTACATTACTTATTTTATTATACTTAAATATTTAAATACTTAAAAAGTGAAATTAGGCATTATCTTGAGCAGCTGTTTTCCCACGCTAACTGTCTCCTCTTCACTGATGGTTGCTTCTTTTCAAATATATACACTCATATTTGCTATAACTTTGCATGAGAACATCAAGTTCAGCTGGAGAAAGAAATGGTGATCTCTTTTATAACATATTGCCATAGTCACTCGTAATGCCTGCGCTCCATTGATAATGCCTTTTTAAAGTCACGGTGTGCGCGCTTAACTCTGAGTTGGTCTACTCGAAGTTGATTGACCCAACTCAGATCAGCTGTTCTGAAACCGAAAACTCTGAGTTTTTAATCTCTCGGTAAATCAACTCAGAGTTCAAGTTTGAACTCTGAGTTGTTTGAACCTCCTTACTGAAACAGGCCCCTGAAAGACACAACACGACTTCTCTCAAGCTGCCGTTTTGACTGTTTTCAGGTAAGTTTTGTCCCTAAAACAAAGCAAATACTACATAAAACTGTTCCTCACACTTTTATTATAGGCAATTGATGAATATTCAGTTGAATATTATGTTATATAAGAGTGGTAAGTCTTCGTAAAAGTCCGTTAGCAAATTAGCACTGGTAACGTTAGCGTCCGGGTTAATATTACGTTAACTTACTTAAAGAGCCCATATTATGGGTTTTTGAAAATTCCCCTCCATGTAGTGTGTAACACAGCTCTAAGTGAAGTGAAGTATCCAGCTAAGGCTTTAATCTGTAAGAATACAGTGTTTAAAACGGTTGATTCATTTATAAAAGAGTCGACTCATAGTGCTTCAAACGAGTCGCCTTGATACCGAGTCATTAGGTGTTTTGCCATGACGTACGAACGAAACCAAGTTATTCACGTGCACGCGCAAACCCGGGAGATTTCAAACCTGAGGCCCCGCCCTCTGACGCAGAAACCCAGACACACACACACACGCACACAAACATGCCGGTAGATTGAAATCACACTGCAGATGGATATTATCGAGGGTCTACCCAAAGGTGAAACATCAACATTATAACCAAGCAGTTGGAAACTACTGGAAACGTTTGGAAACTACATGCTACAAAGAATACTTTATCTGCGTTTGTTAAAGGAAGGATCAGTAAAGAGTAAGTTAACTTACTGATGGACGTCAGGGGCCTGTTTCAGAAAGGAGGTTCAAACAACTCAAAGTTTAAACAACTCGGAGTTTAAACTTGAACTCTGAGTTGATTTACCAAGAGATTAAAAACTCTGAGTTTTCGGTTTCAGAATAGCTGATCTGAGCTGGGTCAATCAACTTCGAGTAGACCAACTCAGAGTTAAGCGCGCACACCGTGACTATAAAAAGGCATTATCAATTGAGCGCAGATATTACGAGTGACCATGGCAACATCTTAAAAAAAGAGATCACCATTTCTTTCTCCGGCTGAACTTGATCTGCTCATGCAAGGTTATAGCAAATATGAGTGTATATATTTTAAAAGAAGCAACCATCAGTGAAACAGAGACAGTTAGCGTGGGAAAACAGCTGCTCAAGTTAATGCCTAATTTTTAATTTTAAGTATTTAAACATTTAAGTATAATAAAATAAGTAATGTAATTTGTGACGTTTATACTTTTTTCTAAACTTTTATACACTTTTATCAGTTTTAATAGATTTAACAGTGCACTTGTGTCTGCCTTTTTATTGATCAAGTGATAGAGGTTTATATACCATTTAGAAGGTAAGCAGTAATAAAATAATTTTTAGACAGAATAATAAACCCATTAATCTAGTAACAGTGCATGTGGAAGGTTAAGCTAATTATTTATGAAAAAAAAGGATAAGCCTCGTACGTGACTTTGTTCTGTGTGTGACAAAAATGTAGGCAATAGCTGTGTTTTCATCAAAATATAGGCTATTACATAAATTTGTGCAAAACTGGAATAATGCCTAAAAATAAAGCAGCGTTTTTATCCAAAGAGTCGAAGAGAACACAATCGTCACTTCCTGGTTAACTTGCGCCAAATATCAACAGTAAAAACAGAATTTACTGCGGAAGAAGAAGCTGCGTCAATGATGTTTTTATTTAATTTGTAGCAGATGTCATATGTGTTTAAGATCTTATGCCAGTTCACTTAGGAACTAATTAAGGCGGAGCTAATTTCAGGGGGAACTATAAAAATGATGCACCACTGAGTAGAGAGACAAATGCATTCACTTCCAAGCATTCAACAAGCTAAGGAATGCTTATGCTTTTCTTGAGTTTCTCCCTTCCGTAACCAGCCAATGAGGTATGTTTGTTTTGTATGATTTGTTGGTTTTGTTTGATTTGAAGTGTGGTGTTGTTGTTTGTTTGGTGTGTGCATTTAACTGTTTGTTTATGAGCGGTGCTATTTATAAAGTTAAATTGTATTAGTTAAGATTATGTGATCCATTGTTATGTGTGACCTTAATGTGGTGATTTGGATTAATTTAATATGGAAATGCACTGTTGTAATTCTTTGTTGTATGTTTTTTAGTTCTTACGTCTGGTACACCCCTGATGTCTTGTGGTTTGCTCTATGTTGAGAACTGAAGACTTGCTATGAAAATAAACCAGTCAGTAGAAACCAAAGACTCTTGCTCGTTTGTTGCTGGAGGGAGCTACATAATTAATGGACTTGCGCCTCAGAATACAATTGACAAACAATGAACACGTGGGGGCGTTTGAAGCCAGACGCAGAAATCTTGACACGCTCCAGACGCTCGGAGGCAGGGGCGGACTGGCCACCTGGCAATTCTGGCAAATGCCAGAAGGGCCGGACCATTTTTTAAATGTGGGCCGTTATGCTATTTTTTAAATAACGTTTTTTTTTATACATATATGTATTGTTTTTACATGCAGGCAGCTTTTATTTCTTGTAAGATGTGAATAATATGATGATGATGATGATGATGATAGTAATAATAATACTAAATGTTAAGCATTGGCCCAATCGGCAAAGGCCCACTGTTTTCGAGATGGGCCGACCCAATCAGAGGTTACATGGACGTAATCAAAATCTGGCAAGAATGTCAAACAAACAGTAAGTGCAACACAAGCTAATTGTCAGAGATGGACCGTTAAAAAAAAAAGAAAAGGCGGTGCCGAAAAGCCCTGAGAAAGCCAAAAATTGCTCTAAATACAGACGCTGCCAAATGCATTAAATTCACTGAAATAATCTCGAAAGTTTCTGTGTGGAGTTTGCATGTTCACATGGGTTTCCTTCCGGTTTCCCTCACAAGTCCAAACACATGTGCTAAAGGTGAATTGGGTAGGCCTAATTGTCCGTAGTGCATGTATGTGTATGTGTGTGTATAGGGGTTTCCCAATGATGGGTTAAAACTTGGAGGACATCCGCTGTGTAAAATATGTTACTGCTTACATTATTTCACCATCTGTACACCAATATAAGTAGTGAATGTGCGTGTCTGTGGATGGGGCTGTGTTGGTAATGTGGGCTGGTGTGGCTACAGTGCCAGGGCTGATTTTTAGTCCCAGTCCGCCCCTGCTCGGAGGTAATTAATAATATACACTAATACTGAAACAGTTAAGGCATTTTTAAAGGCGCGGAAATAAATTTCCGAATAAATCGCGGGAGCGGTTGGTAACGGGTTTAATTTGGGACGGGAGCAGGCTGTCTAGCAATATCACGGATATTGCTATGCGAATGAGAAAGAGACCCAGATAGCAAAATGACATAATTTCAACCTAAAATCAACGTTTCTTTTGATATCGAATCCACGTTGATCACCGACGTTGATTCAGCATCGTTTTGCTCATTGGGGTAATGTTGAAACGACGTCAGGCACTCCATTCAAATCTAACCTGAAATCGACGCAATTGGTTACTTACCCAACGTTGAATCGATGTTGACTTTCAGTCGATCGATACGACGTTATAGAATCCACACATTTTCAACAGATAATCGACTTAATTGGTTTGTCTATCTAACGTTGAAATGATGTTGATTTTAAGTCAATTGGAACAGCATAGAATCCACATATATTCAACATATAATCTATCCAAATGATTTAACGTCGAAATGAATGCTTAAACAACCTTTTCAACGTGAATAAATATTACATAATACAGTTTTTAAAGGATACAAACTATAATTTAATCTGTATATATGACAAAACACACCACAATCTGTCATAATTTTTATTTTTTTTTTATACAAATATACAGCAGTAAACATTCGTTGAGAGCATAAATTCATTCAAAACTTCTATGCACGCAGTACACTTAAACACACAGAGAGAACATTTACATTAGGCTGCAAAAGTCAAAACCATTTACTCAAACTGTAGAATATTAAATACATTTGTCTATTTGTGTTCTAATTCAACATGTATTTTTCATTAGAGTAAAAATGCATTTTATTTCAGATGTGCATAATAACAAAATTTAGGTATTCCAGTATATATGACAAATTAAACACCACAATCTGTCATAATTTCCTAATTTTACATATATTACTTCTGTACAAGCAGTACACTCAAACATACACAGAGAGAACAATTATAGGCTGAATTCGATATATAGACAAACAATTTTCTCAAGAAAAACTTTAGAATATTAAATATGTTTATCTATTTGTGTTCTGTTTCAACATATGCAATTTTCATTAGAGAAAAAATATATATTTTTAAGATGTGCATAATAAAATGTACTATTTGTGTGTGTGTGCGCGCACACGCGTGTGTGTGTGTATATGTGTGTGTGTGTGTGTGTGTGTGTGTGTGTGTGTGTGTGTGTGTAAAGTACATCAATTGTATTTAGCATTATTGTAGCAAAACTGAGCACCAGTGACAATGAAATTTGTGTACAATATTTCAGTAAAGTCATGAAGAAAATGTTTTTGAAGTTGCAAACTTTTTCTTGATTCTTTCTCTCAATAATAAGTAATAATAACACACCTTCCATGAATACAATTGCACAAATCACAAAATAAGAAATAAACTCAAATTTTCATTTTATGTATTGTACAGAAGATCAGTAACCTTGTTGACATGTATATTATATATGGTTGTGCAAACAAAATATGCAATATTTGCATATTGCCTGAAAATGTCATACGAAATAAAATGTTGAAAATAAGCTCGTTACATTAATAAAAAAAAAACACTTTATTTATTTTTACATTTCCTTCAAATAAGGAACAATTTTCGTTCACACCTTGCATTTAAATGTGTTTATTTTATCCACTTTCAACCGCTTATCTAACGAGGGAGAATAGCTTTTTTTAATCTTGTATTTAAAGCCGGGCTCAACTACTGGAGTTTTAACCCGATTTATGCCTCCGGGAATCAAAGAGGAAGTATATATATATATATATATATATATATATATATATATATATATATATATATATATATATATATATATATATATATAAATATAAATATATAGCATCTTAATTTCTTGTTAATATAATAGTGCAGTCAGTGGCTGAAAAAATTAAGATTGCCGACGCTGCATAGGCTACATTTAAAGGTTTCTATGGATTTCAGTTCATTACTGTGATGCGTTATATTTCACGGAGGCTGCATGAGACTGTAGAAAGCGCATCTTGTTTATTGTCTTTACTTTAAAAATTCACAACTTTGTTGTTAATGTGCGTACATATATTTCCATGGTTATGTATAGTATTGCGTAAGTAGGAGCATTATTTTACCGTGGTAAAGTGGGACATTTCTTGGCAAACTCTTAATGCTTCAATTTGTTTAGTAATTAAATTTTATAGTTATAAAATACATTTAAAGAATAATTTGACACTTTCAATTAGTGTCTGCGCCCACTCCGTCTCCCACAACTTAGTAATTTGAATCAGTATATAACAACGAAAATACCTTAGAAAAAAAGAAGCAGGTTTTACGATCAGACATATTTTCAAACCAGTGAACCCCTGTAAACTTTTCAGTCCAAGGATCCAGTAAATGAATGCATTCAGTTAAGTTAAAAACCTCCGGGATACAGAGAAAGATTTTAGATTGTGTGTGCTATCTGAAAATAAGTATTCTGTGAATGATCGAGGGGCACGTTTCATTTCATAATATTTTGACAATACACGTGGCTCACCCAGTTTTTCTGATGCAGGCAGAGTCTCTTTTCTGCCTACTGCTTTTAAATACTAAGATATTTTCTTTGAACTCTAAATGTATATTTTCCTGCCATGGGTTTCTTCATAAACACTCCCTCGCTGTGATCGAGAGACTGAGAAATGAAAGCATGCAGCAGCAAGGAAAAATCAGATGCTAAAGACATAATCTTAAAAATAATAACTTATTAAATTGTTTACAAATATAAAACTGAGATTTGTGATACAATTACAGTGGAGCATTCATTAAATCCTTATTTTTCTAAATTATAAGTATAATTAGTGGAGGGGTACAAACAAAAATATAATTTGTGAATTTTTTCTTGGAAAAAATATATTTTTGAAACTAACTTCGTTTGCTATAATTTTTTATTTATTTTTAATGTATCTTTCGTTGATCAGTTATCAATAAACAAGGATAATTAATAACACTTGAGATGATGTGCTTCAAAACAAGTCTGCTATGCCAAAACAAGAATTGCAGTGAGATTGTGTTGGTTTGTTAAATAAATTATTGAACTAGCCTGAATAAAATGAAAGTGAAACATTCATAGTTTCAGAGAAGCCTATAATAAAGCCTATAATAGTTTTCACTATTAATGACAAATCTGAATAAGCAGGAGATGCTTTGCAATGTATTTGCAGCACTGAGCCCATTACCTCGGCAGAATGTGTTGGCAAAACAAACTCTGTTGAAAGAACAGAGAACTTAGAAACTCTGTGTGAGAATGGAGATATAAATAAATAGCTTAAAGCCCTTTAATATTCTAGAAAAGGTAGTTAAAATTTGCAGAACCAATGATTGATCTTATCCGTCTGTTACCCACCCATAATTAAATATGAAGCCTATTTTTTGATTACCTGGCCTGTGCATTAACAGCAGCCACTGATATAACCTAGAAATCATGAGCTCATATTACACAGTTCATCCACGTGAGGGAATTGGTCATGAAGAAGGGGGAAAATTAAACATGCATTTGCCATGGTGCAGTGAGGTGTAGCAGACATGGTATTGATTGTTATGAACTATGCCACATTACTAAGCCACCATCAGATCACAGGAGAACATGCGATTTTTTTCTTGATAAAAATCTTTACTTGTCATAAATGTGCCAGACTACACGATCTGTCATCCTGTGACGTCTACGATCATTATTTCAAAGCAGTCACAAATATTACTATAACAATATTTTTTATCTCAAATTAAATTTGTTTTTCTATCTTATTTTAATTTCAATAAACCCTGATGCTTGCAGACAACTTACTACATTATTTAAAGGCATTCGTTAAAATAGGATCAAATTTATGATTCCTTTTTAACTGGGGCGTAGCCACACCTAAAAAAAGATGCAGAATTATATATGTATAGCCTGGTAAAATTTGCACCAGCAAAAGTAATGATTATAAATTTGTTTGTGATGCAAAAGTTTATTTAGGCCAGTAGGCCTACTAAATGCAACATGCAATTTGAAATAGATTTTGT